TAAGGTATGACGATAATTTGAAAAACAAACAACACATTTCTAAATGGAACAAAATGTATTTTAACTCTCCTCCCAAGGAATTTTGGCCAGCCATGATTCAAAGTATTTGAAAAGAGAGAGAGATTCCAGGTTTTACTTGCTGAATATTTCCTCCCGTCACTTGCCTCTCCCCTGTCACAGAAAATCACGGCATAACGCTGAACTCCAGGAAGCCTCAAAGATCCAGGCAAAAATGCCACCAAAAGGCCCAATTCCTTAGAAAGACAAAATGAATCCAGAGCCACACTGTTACACACAAATGCACAGACCCAAATAAAAAAGACCAAGGTACTAATGAGGACAAAGGCAGTGTGACATGCTCACAAAGGCACTGCTTTGGATTGGGAAGATAATGTTTGAAATGTTGGTGTACTAGCAATTCAGACAAGCCCTTAGTATCTGTGAGCTTCAGTTACCTTGCCCTCAATGGGGATGGCCATCCCCAGTGAGGTGAGCAAAGCCACTGCAATCAAGCTGAACCCTATTTCTCAGCTCCAAGCTTTGCACTTTCTCTACTGGTTCCATAATCCTTGGCCCATCAACATTAAAACTAGAGCCCTCAACCACATGTGGTTGACCAATTATCCAACAGGGTCACCTCTGAAGCAGAGTATCGGGTGCACAGTGGGCACATTATATACCCATACTCTTTCACCAGTGAGCAGAAGGAAGACAGGTATCTTCCTTGAACTTACTCAACAATAATCTCAGAATTTGGAAAGGGTTCTCACTGTCCTGGTTGACCAGGAAAAGGCCCCAGGGTTGAATATGATGTAATCCTTGCTAATGATTCTTCCTCTTCATCTCTTTAAGTTTCTCTGGCAGGCAGAGGGCAAAGGGCCAAGGGTAAATGACAGCCCATGACCAAGAACCTGGAGCCAGAATAAGGTAGGACAGGTCTGGCCCAGAGCCCCAGCCTGGGTCCCCCCACAGCATACCTGGACCAGGTGTAATGGCTCTTCAGAGGACAGGTGTGAAGTGAGCAACTGCCAGGTATATGGTACAAGTCATGGCTTGTCAGCCAGTCAAGGTGACAGGTTCAAGGTGATGCTCCCTTGAGCTCTACTTCCCTTGGAGCTTTGGACAAAGCAAGAAGCTAATATAAAAATGAAAAAACAGACCCAAATCCAGAGTGCAACAAATTCAGAGAAGGGGCTACTTTTCCCTGTAAGACAAAAACAGCCAGCCCATAGAGGAGGGAGGATTAGTGGGTCCCCACCTCAGAGGAGGGCCACAAGAAACAGTTTGCCTCCTTCTTTATATATGAAAAAATCTTACTGAGGCATGAGCCAAATGTTTATCAACTGCCAGTGTGGCAAACTCAATGATCCTGAGCTAACACTTCACTTGCTGGTTACACTTCCGCATCTGTAAAATTAGACCTTTGGATAACATGGCCATTAAATTTCTTTTCAGTTCTACGGTGGAGTCTATACACTCTGCAAAAATGTTCCAAAGCTAATCCATCCTAGAATCATGATTAAAATAATATTATTAGTGATGTACCTTGTCTCCTTGATGGCTACAAAATTAAAATGGTTTTTGTACAGGCAAGATGGGATAGAGATTCCTGGCACAATAAAGTGAGCCTACTAGTGCCTACTTCATTGCCTGCAGAGAGTTGCTAAGAAGGGGCACCCCAAGTGGTGTGTGGGGTGGTCTTCCAAAGGAGACAGAATTCACCATCATGGAGAGACCCTGATAGACAGGAGAACACTTGCTAGAGGAAGGCTTCTGAGATCTGCAAAGGTCTCCCTGAAAATCTTTAGCTGGGTGCTGATTGGTGTGTGCATGTGAGAGACTGTCAAGGCCAAGAGAGGGACCACCAGAAAGACGTAGGCAAAACAATCCCCAGAGCTCACATAGAGCAGGGACAAGTACACATTTCCACAGCCCAAATGGAAAACGTACTCACACACAGGACACTGGAGAGTACTCAGAAGGGCCCTACCTCAACAGTGATGACCAAACAGGCCAGACCCAGAGTGATTCAGGCCCAGCTAACCAAACTGGAAAGCAAACCTCAAAAGTATCAGAATGTCCCAAAGAACCCTAACTATGCCCAGAATAGAGCCTAAAAGTATTGAAAGGCTCAACCCCCACCCCAAAAGAAAGACCAGTACCCAACCATGTAAAATTCACAGTGTCTGACATCCAAATAAAAATTACCAAACATGAAAAGAAAATAAGGCCCAAATGATAAGAGAAATTAACCAAGAGCAACATCTCAGCTGGGCACATTGGTACATGCCTGCAATCCCAGTTACTCAGGAGGTGGAGGCAGGAGGATCATGAGTTTGAGGTCATTCTGGGCAAAGTTAGGAAGCTCCTACCACCTAAACAAAATGGTTGGGACATGGCTCAGTGGGAAAGCATTTGCCTTGCTTGCAGAGGTCCTGAGCTGGGAAGGAGGGAGGGAAGGAGAGAGAGAGAAGAGGGAAGAGGGAGGGTGGGAAGGGGAGAAGGAAGAAGAAGGGAGGGAGGGAGGGAGGAAATCTAGAAATGCCAAAGATGTCAGATGTAGAAGACAACATGTTAAGAGAAGGATGATAAATCTGTTTCCTATGTTCAAGAAGGTAAAGGAAAGCATGAGCCTGATAAGGACAGAGTAGAAAACATAAAATGAACAAATCTAACCTCTAGAGATGAAAAATACACAAGATAAAAAATACACCAGTCTCCAATGACACTGTACAGCTCTTCACCACTGAGGGCTGGTGTGGTCTGAGAAGCAACAGAAACTATCCAAGGTGACACACAGGATAAACAAAGATAGAAAAGATAACAATCTCCTCTTTCACATCATGCTAGAAAGGGAAGAGCAGAAAGGGAATTCAGGTGCAAGACCAGAGAGAATTGCATATTGGGGCTGGCATTCTTCACCTTTCAGCTGTTTGGCCTGGCAGGTTAAGTCTCCAAAAGTCTCTGAAGTTTAGTGGGTAAATGTGAATGTAATTCCCATTTCAAAGAGTATGCTGGGAAGACAGAGAGATGAGGTATAAAAAGTCCTGGCACAAAACAGGCCAGTTCCTTTCTTCATCTCCAAAGGGACAGCCTCCTACTCTGTCACATCCTAATATGGGCAGGGGAGAGGAGGTGGTGGGTGGGGGGTCAAGGGGGAGAAACATGGCTGTTCTTTTTAATAGAGGTGAACAAGCTCTTCCGTGCTCGAGCAGCAGTTATAAATGGTAACAGCCTGGCTATTCATAGGGCCACTCCAGCTCTACCAGACAGCAAGGGAGGAAGAGCCAGCTGGCCTCCATTACAGGAGTCCAGCTGCCAGGCTGTCACCAAATGGAATGACACTTGCGAGAGAAGATGGAGGAGTGTGGGAGTGAGTGTATATATACACATACATCCAGATTGTACCATGTATGGACACGCTAGTACAAACCTAAAATGTGCACACAGATGATCTATAGCTACCACAAATCCTTTCTTTTTCCACCACTAAAGTTACAAAACATTCCTCTACTTAAAATCTTTTCTCCCTAAATTATGAATGGATTCCAGCCCAAGAAATCAAGTGCTAGCCTTGCTTGTTATCAGTGAGTCTTAAGAGAATATCTTTGTGTGTTAGCATATCTCAACCAGGTATTAAAATAAAACCTGCTTTGTAGCATCTACATCCTAGGTCTCATTGTTTAGAATGGATTTCATAGGCTAACAAGCCCCCAGACTCCTTAAGATAACAATGTCAGCTACACACATCTGTTAACCTCACCTTGTGCCAGTTTCGAGAGGGAATCTATGAGGATGGAGACCACGGTCATGGCTGAGCTCTCAGCTTTTCCAAGCTGTTCAAGATGAAACCTCTGAGAACAGAGCCAGCTCAGTCTTGATTTCCCAGTGTGGCGACTCCTCTGTTACTCTTGGGGAGCCCAATGAAGGAGTGAGGCTGAGGACTCCTATTGGACAAATGACTACAGCCCAGGAGACCAAGTACTAGGATACAAGATGTGACGGGGTTTCTAGCTGGGATCCAGTACCTGCAATTGTGTTCGTAAGGAGACAATGAAGAAGATGGGGGCAGGGGAGCCCCAGCTTTTCAAAAGTGAGAGGCCTGGGTGACAAGGATGAAGATGAGTTAACACAGAATGAGGCCAGAATGGAGAAAAGGAAGATGGATTTGACTTAACACAAAGAAAGAGCTTATTAAACATCAGTTAATGAGATTTCAATTACCTGAACTGGAATCATCATCAGCCCCAAACTCTTCCTCCTTACCCATGTTCATTCCCTCCCTTCCCCCCCCGCCCCCCCCTCTCAGATTGCACCCAGGGCCTCTTGAAAGCTAGGCAAGTGATCTACAACTCAACCCACACATCCCCAGCCTTTTTGTTTTCTATCTTGTTTTTGAGAGAGGGTCTCACTGTCCATGCTGACCTGGAACCAAGATTCAACTATCTCCACTGATAGAGACACTAGAACTACATGTGTGCATCACCATGCCTGGCCCTTTTCTGTGTTCTAACTAGTTACCAAACTGATTATTTTACCTTCTAAATACACTGCCTCCCTCCCCGCCTTGCTCTCTTCTCACAACCTCTGTAGCCTCTTAGGCTCGGGCTATGCCCTGTTTTGTCCTGAGCATCAGTGACTGAGCATAGCCAAGGAGTGACCATCCTGCCAAATAACACTTGATAGTGTCGAACCCAGCAACATACCAGCCTGGGATCTTCAATCATCATGGTACACTTAATGTTTCAATCTTTGAAGACCAGAGATCTAAACTCACTCCACACCAATCTGCACATTAAGAAGCAGTTGTTAAAACCACATTAATCTCTAGCTCACGAGAAGCCCAGTGCACACCATCTCCATACTGAAATGCTAGCCATCAAAATCCCAAAGGCAGAGACTGCTGTTCACAGCTCTCAAAAATAAGAAAGTTTCACTAAGCAGAGAGAAGGGACCTGCAATCACTGACCAATGTCTTTAAGTTTAACGGAAATACTCACCAATGGTGACACAGCCACAAGGTAACTAACCACAGAGCTTCACACACTTGGGAGTATCCAATCGCTTGGTTGGTCACCTGAACAGAAGAGAAATGGATGGTCCCTGGCACACAACTGTTGTGACTTAAGATTTCTCAACTTTACAATGGCACAAAAGTGATGCATACAATAGAAACTGTTTTGAACACTTAAACTAGGTAGGAAATGAAATAAGGAAGCTCATGTTTAAATTATTCTTTAGTTAGAGGAATAATTTTACAGTTCCTCTGCCTCCCAAAATGCATTTTGCTTATAAAGATAAGAGTTGCAATTACCTAAATTTTTAATCAATCGATGTAATTTTTGCTTATTTAAAACATACCATACTTTGGCTGGCTGTCCAAAGTGTTTACAGTAAGTAATTCAATAGTTTTTTCCTCTTCTGCAACTGAGTGAACATTGAAGTTTTATGGCATGCAAATCCAGCAAGTGAGATTGTCATAATAAACACGAGGAGAGAGAGAGAGAGAGAGAGAGAGAGAGAGAGAGAGAGAGATGCCCGCTTCACTGAAGTTTCAAAAACCCTTACCACGAGTGCCATGTGTATTATCTGCCACATTTGAATAATTATAGCATGGTAAAGGTACTCAACCATGAATGGATTTTAAGCAATATAGAAATCATTATAGAACTGTGTGCTGAGCAGGCTCTCTCCCTGCACAGAGTCACCACCACCCACCTTCTTGAACAGGAATCAGTGGCTGGGCATACATGACGCACCACCAAGGAGACCGTCGACGGACTGCAGCTCTCAGTGTGGCAGCCAGGGCCCCAGTCCCATTTCTGGCACATCAGCACTGGCAACAGGGCATGATCCCTAACATGCACCCAGGAGCAAGAGGCAGAGAATGTGCTGCTGGGTATAAAGCTCCCGTGCAAGTGACTGGGGATACTGCATGATCAGAACACAAGTGTGACTTGGGTCTGTGCTGTGTGAACCAGGGCCACCTCAACCTCCCTAGAGGGTCTGGCACCTCTCCTGCAAGAAGGGAACTCAACCTGAGACAGGCAAGCTGACATTGAAAACATCAGAGGGCACTCTGGCAGAAACAAGGACAGTGTAGACCTTGGCAAAAAGGTGAAAGGGGCTGAAAGGAGGTGAGAGAGTAGGCAGTAGCTGGACCAAGCAGAACAGCATGAGCCAAGGGACAATGCAAGGGCAGCCTGTCATTCAGTGGATGCCAGCACACACAGTGCCAGGTAGGTACAGTCTCATTACCTGCACTGAGCAGGTACCTGGCACCTTCATATAAATGCATGTTGGGTACATGGCGTCATTCAAAGCCAGCCACCTATACATGGTGCAGCACACATAGTGACTTATACCACACACTGCCACTCTGCCCCTGGCTGACCCCAAACCCCTGCCTGCCAGCCCTGATTACCTAGCCCCTACATCATCAGGCTTCAGGTTTTGATCTGGCCAGGGTAAGGGGTTCTATGTCACTGTATGGGGACATCCTGGCCCTGGTGTCTCACCAGGGAGGGGCCGAGAAGGATGGTAAGCAAGGCCACTGTCCTCAAGAAGTACATTTGGGGACAAGAGGAAGGGAGAACATGACAGTGTGAGGGGAGGTCAGGTAGAGGAGCTACTAGGCCTTGAAGTAGGAAAGGATGTCCTATGCGGTAAGGACAGGACCACTGGAAAGAGATGGAGTCTGGGCCAAAGGCAGAGGAAGGGCTATGCAAAAGAACAGGAGAAGAAAGAGGACAGAAAGAGGGTTGGGAGGAGGCCAGGAGCAGAGTAATCAGTGTTGCTGTGGCAAGGGAGAGCCTGGGCTAGTGGTGAGCAGGGTTCTGCAGGCACACAGGCTGTGGAGCTGGCCTGGTTCTCCTGTCCATGCCTTACCCCACTGAAGGCAGTCCCACTGCTTCCCTCAGGCCAGGTTCTCCACTGCTCCCAGCTATCCATCCACCAGTTGGGCCACCTCTCCTGATCCCACCGTGGCCCTTCCCCTCTATCCACCTTTACATCTCACAGGACAGGTTGAGAGAGTACCATACACCATGGCCATGACCAAGGTTTTCTGCAAGGATCATTCTGAGATCTAGAGCAACAACCTCAGAGGAAGACAGGAAGGGCCCTCGGAAGGTTCTGAGGCCACCCACTTGGAGCTTCTGGAGGTATGAGGACAGAGACGAGGGACCTATGTCCAGAGCAGCTCAGAGCTTCTGCAACTCTAGTGTCAGCCCCAGAACAGGAAATATTACTTCCCTAAGAACTCAAATCTAAAGGAGGCATATTTCCATACACCTGGAGAACATAGCCCTCAGGTCACAGAAAAGGGTGCTTTTGAGACTCTATGATGGGGTCTCTGGAAAGGATGGCTCAGGTTAGGAAGGTGACAGGAACCAGAGAGACTTGGACTGGGTGATAGAGAGACCAAATGGTGAGGAAGCAGCTAGGGGCAGGGTGACAGGGAGGCAGGATGACCGGGCAATCTGCTCCCTCTTTTGCCCGCACACTTCTCATACCTTGCAGCCTCATCAGCGGTTTGTTTTTCACAAAGGTTCCCACATGCAACATGTAATGCCCTTGGTGCTATATTACCCATTCCACCCAGCTTAGGTAAAGACAACTCCCTTAGAATGAAGTTGTTCCTGTGGTTTCCCTGACCCTCACCCCAGACACTATGCAGTCTACAATCCCTTCCTGTGATGGTGAAAAACATATGTAAGTATCATGCAAATGTCAAGAACCTGACCCCAAAGACCAATTTAAACATAATCAATATTTTGGTGATAATGAACAAAGCAGCCATTAATACAAAGCTTACTTTTGTTTTAGCAAAGTTCTGAAGAAATAATCCAAGCTAAATATTTAGCTTGCAAATATACTGTATTTTTAAAACAGCACTGTGTCTTTTTCTCTTTTAAAAAAGAAAAAAGTTGCAGTGAGGCAATGGTGTCATTAGTAGCCCTGGTCTCAAATTTCATCTCTGGATCCACAGGGCAACACGGTTGAATCTTTTGTTTTCATTGTCCTACAACAGCACGTGCTGAGGGAAAATACAAGTCTTCAAACTCCACCTCACAATCAGAGTTGCATAGGATTCCTATGCAACTTACCAGAACAGGTAATCACTAAGAAAAGCTAATCATTTCCTCACTGCCCAAAGAACAAAAGAGCATGTTGTCTGATCTCATCATAAAACTAAGGTGGGCTTAGAAAGCAGTTAAGTGCCTCCTATTCACAATTGCTGTTACTCTCAGTCAACAGTGCTCCAAAAACATTAACTAGAAAATTCCAGAAATAAGCAATTCATGTGTTTTAAATTACACACTGTTCTGAGTAGTGTGATGAAATCTCACACCCACACCATCCTGCTCAGTTGAGCTCATGATATGAATCATTCCTTTTTCCAGTGTTTCCTTGCTGTATATGCTACCTGCCTGCCATACCCATCTTCATTATCCCATCAACCACAGTGGTATCACAGTGCTTGTGCTCAAGTAATCCTTCTTTTATTTAAAAATGGCATCAAAGCACAAGAGTCTCCTTCATTTGGCCCTTGCAGCTCCAACTCCATAAAAGTATGAGTGTGATTGTTGGAGGACTGACATGCCCAGCAGTGACGCTGGAATTAGAACCTGGGCCTGCCTGGCTTTCAGGCTGAATCACTTCTCACTGGCCAGTTGGGTCAGACTCTTGGTAGGGTTGTTAAGACTAAGCTTAAGACAGACAGATACACAAGATGGAAGGAAGGTCACTTTGAGCCAGACAGACTTCCCTACTTGAAGTCCCCTACCCTTCAAATCCCAGGACAGGGCCAGCAGTCAGTCAGGACTGTTGGTAGAAGGAAAGCAGGAATCTTCCTGGGCCACTTTGAAGAGTGTGCGACATGCTGGGAAGAATACAGACATCATCTTCCCATGATGCTCTACTCTTCAGAGACATGAATGAGGAAGTCCCAGCTGGGCCTCATAGAGCCTCACCAGACACAAAGGACATGCCAAGGACACAACTGGAAATAAACAAAAAGCCTGAACATCAATTCCAAAGCCAGATGCCATGGGAGAACCAACACCAGCATGACTTGGGAAGTCTTGAGGTGGTCTGGACCAGCACTTCTCCAACCATCCATGGGAAAGGAGCAGTGTTGGCTCTTGGTCCTGTACCCAACCTGTCAAGAATGGGTATTTTCACAGACCATATCAATACCATATATTGATATATACAGACTATAGTAGCTCCTCCTTTGGCCAGTTTCCCCTCATCCAGTTTCAGTTAGTTAGCTGCAGTCAACCCAGGTCCGAGAATAGTAAATAGAAAATTCCAGAAATAAACAATTACTAAGCTTTAAATAAAGTGTTTTCATTGTTCTATTTTATTCTTGTTATTGCTAATCTCTCATGGTGCCTACTGTGTAAGTGAAGCTACGTCACAGGTTTGTAAATCCAGGAACAAACACAATATATCCTGGGCTTGGTACTACCAGAGAGTTCAGTCAAGAAGTGGGGGTGTTGGGATGCATCCCCTGCTGGTAAGGCAGACAAGTATACTAGATTATCATGGACTAGAAATAAACATGGCCACTCCAGATCACCTGGAACATGTATGACTGTTGCATGAAAAGATCCTCTCCATCAATGAAAGTCCATCCTCAGCTAACAATATGGGAACGTGGGGTCCTGACAGTGTGACAGCCACCTCCAGCCCTGATGTGGTCAGACCACCTCATGTGTTGATTAATTCTGACCCTTTCTCTTGAAGAGTGAGGGACAGAACAGGACAATGAGAACGTGAAAAGAAAAAGTGCCAGAAAATCACAGCTAAGATAGGGTAAAGACACATGGTGCATACACATAGCAAGACAGAGTTGATTTACTTCGTGTTACTGAAAAGGCCAGAGTGAACCACAAATAAATATTACAGGGAGGTCCATTTTTACTGACCACAGATAGACAGGCTGTCTCTGGAGGTTATGAGTTCCCTTTGCATTTGGTAATCAAGTGATATAGACTGAATCCATAAAATAAAAAACAAACTTCATGTTTCAAACAAGTTCACACACTGCCTTTCCAACTCTGAGTACCT